GTGGACACACTGGCTCCAGAGAAACTGAGGCTGGAGGCAGAGTTTGGCAACATGCAGGGACTGGTGGAGGACTTAAAGAATAAGTCCGAGGATGAGATCAACAAGCGCAGAGATGGAGAATAAATTTGTCCTCATCAAGAAGTATGTGAATGAAGCGTACATGAACAAGATAGAGCTGGAGTCGCACCTGAAAGGGCTGACCGATGAGATCAACTTCTATAAGCAGCTGTATGAAAGGACATTTGTGAACTGCAGTCCCAGATCTTGGGCACATCTGTGGTGCTATTCATGGACAACAACTGCTCTCTGGACCTCAAGGCCAAGGCCCAGCATGAGGACATCACAAACCACAGCTGGCTGAGGCTGAAACCATGTACTAGATCAAGTATGAGGAGCTGCAGATGTTGGTTAGAAAGCATGGGGATGACCTGCATCACCTGAAGACTGAGATTTCTAAGATGAACCGTGTCCCAAGGAGATCCTGGGAAAGGATCTGGGGTGTTTGTCTAAGGCATCCCTTGAGGTATACTTTAACCGTGCAGGTGCGGGACATTTACGTAGCTGCTGGCGAAGAGTCTGCTCTACGCAAGCAGGACCAGAGTGGCAGGCTTTAGGACCAACAAAGACCAGAGGCTTTAATTTAAATTTTAAGCGTATGCAAATAGTTCATATGCAAAATAATTCAATTAACTGCTGGAGGAGAATCACACCACATGAAACACGCAGTTGCAAATCACACAGCTTTTTTATTACTCACACAAATTCCTGAGCTGTGGGTACAACTTAGTTAGGGATCCCCATGGTGCTGTCCTCTGGGGTCCAGCAGCTGGGCTGGTCTGATCCAGGCACAGGGGGTCTGGCGTTTCTCACCTGAGAGCTCGGTCACATCTCAATCGGGGGTTGTTAGCCGTTCTTCTGTCGTCTGGCAGGGAGAGAAGCGTGATGTCGCGTCGCTTGTCAGACCGACAAAGGGGTGGGCCTTTGTAGCTGTCTTGACAGGCGAGCATCGTTAGCTGGCCGGGGTCCATATTTAAAGCTTGTTCATACCCGTAGCAGCTCAGGTGGCTATCAGTGATTTACATCAATGCACATGTTAATTTCAAACAAGGCAAGGGGGCTAAGGAGAGTATGTCACTCATGCAAGTGTTTATCTTGACAAGTCACTCTGAGTCAGTTCAAACCCTTATCTCTGGGGAACACACACCTCAAGGCAGTGGGGAATGTGTTCTTAATATCACACTTTAAGTTTTAAGGAAAGTTAGCCCAAACTTTTTAAAACCTTTCTAACATTCTTTAAGCATTTTAAACATTTCTTTATTTTATTACAACAAACCGGAACATCAGCCGACTCCAGGCTGAGTCTGAGGGTCTCAAAACCGGAAGACTTCCCTGGAGGCCGCCATCGCCGATGCTGGGAAGTGTGGGGAGCTGGCCATCAAGGATGCTCAGTTCAAGGTGGCTGAGCTGGAGGCCGCTCTGAGAAACACCAAGCAGGACATGGCCCAGCAGCTGTGTGAGTACCAGGAGCTCATGAATGCCAAGCTGGCCCTGGACGTGGAGATTGCGACCTACCGCAAGCTGCTGCGGGGCAAGGAGAACTGGCTGGAGTCTGGGATATAGAACGTGAATATCCACACCAAGACTACCAGCGGCTGTTCTGGTTTTCCAAAGACCCCAATCTTTAGGTCAGATGATCACTTTGTCTTAGTATCACTGTGAATTAACAAGGGGAGGGGGAGAGGGAAAATGCAGTAGGTGGACTGGATTAGGCAACAGGCAGAAATTCAGAGCGGAGAATGATCTTAAATGCTTAATCGGTGATTCCCACACCCAGGAGAGGATAGCAGTAATGGCATAAGGGAGACCTACCTGGTGCATCAGAAGACCAGAATTCTAGTCTCAACATTTCTGTTTTATGTTGTTTTGATGTGGTTGTTTTGTTTTTTAAGTGTTTGTCCTTTCATCTGTCACTTAATCTTTCTGAGACAGTTTTATCTCTGGGATATACTAACTAGGACTTTCAGGTGCTTATTTATAACTTTTATTTATTTAGGTAAAATTTACATGACATAAAATTAATCACCTTAAAGTGACCAATTCAGTGATATTTAGTACGTTCACAATGTTGTGCTACCACCACCTCAACCTAGTTCCAAAACATTTCCATCACCCCCCAAAACCTATATCCATTTAACAGTCTCTCCCATCTCCCTTCCACCCCTCACAAGCACAGATCTGTTTTCTGTTTTATAGACTGACCTATTCTGGGTATTTTATATAAATGGAAGCATTGCAACATGTGACATTTTACGTCTGGCTTCTTTCACTTAGCACAAGTTTTCTAGGTTCATTCATGATGCAGCATGTACCAGTATTTCTAGGTGCTCCCACAAGGTACCATGTATATACAGTATTCCATATTATAGCTGAACAACATTCCATTGTATCACATGTCACATTTTGTGTATCCATTCGTCTGTTGATGGACAGCAGGGTAGCTTTCATCTCTTGGCTATTGTGAATAGTGCTACTATGAACAAGCATGTACAAGTATTTGTTTACCTATTTTCCTAATTTGTTATTTTTAAATGTACCATTTCATTTAATTATCAAACTGGGTTGAAAAGAGGTAGGTATTTTACTGACAAGAAACAAGTTCAAAGTGACTTGCTCAAGGTTTATAGGTAGTAAGGACCTAGAAATGCAACACTTCTGACAGGAAGTCCAGTGCTCCTTCAAGTTATTCCACTGCAGACTCAGCTGTCCTGAGAGTCAAAAAAGGAGAATGTGACCGGCGGGCTATATGTATAAGTTGGTGTTGGTAGTTGGTATTTGAGATGCCAATTGATGCTACAGGCGTAGTTTCCCACGTGGGAGGTCAGCGCACGCCGTCTCTATTATGGCCAGAAGAGAGATTTTAGACTTGCAAAAGGTATAACAGAGTGGTTGGACACCAGCAAAGGAGTTTGACAAGCCTGTCACATCTGTTCAATATTTCTACTGAAATAATCATGGCTATTGCTGTTGATGGTTACCATAGTGGTATTAAGGTTGGCAGAAGGAGATGATGTAATCTCGGGTATGCTGATGACATCCTGGCTGCTGAGTCTGTGGTTTCTGCTCTGGGAAGGCTGGTGCCTTAGACTAGGGATGATTTTGACGCTGATAATGACAGCTGAAAAGCAGAATATTTTAGCAGCAGCACAAACTGGGAGTGAATAAGAAAAGTAAGCGAAGGGTTATGCTGCCAATAGGTTATGATAGGGAGCGAACAGCCCTCTGGCCTATAAAAGTGAGGGCCAATGGCCTAGTCAGCGTTCATGAGAATGAGGTCCTGAGCATAAAATGCCTGCCGGGAGGCGGTCGGCTTCACATTATCCCACCTCGGACCCATTCTTGTTCTAATTTAGTCCCCGGGTCTGATTAGTATAAAACAGCTATGAGCTGAGCCTCAATCCACAGACTTTTACCCAAAGAGATGAAGACCAACACCGAAATGCGGCTACTGTCAAGCTGCGTTAAAGCCAGAGTGATGACGACAATATCTTAGTGAAGGAGAAGAATGACAACGGATTGAAAGAAAGCATCAAATGTTTCCAGAATCCTGGAACATTTCCTTCTGAAATAACTCATTCTGTGTGTCTTGATTTCCTGACAAGTAAATCTTGAAGAACAGAACTGGCATTTATCAGGGCAAATACTTATATGTGGGCTTCTAGAAGGATTTGTGACAGGGTTTGTGAAAACTGTGTTTTTGAAGGATCCATTGCTATGTGAGGGTTCCTAGAACATTCTTCGAAATGTTCAAAAGATGTATCAAAATACATCTTTTGATCAGGCATGTTGTTATGATTATGAAAATAGCCCATGTTCATTGTGAAAAACACTGAAATATGGAAAAGAGAAAAAATCGTGCGTATTTTCACAACTGTTAACGTTATGGCATTACTTCTAGTATTTTAACATTTTATGTAATTGGGACCATACTTTATGTTCCACTGGCTTCCTGCTTTTTTAAAAATTGCTTATTTGCACACATACTTCGGGCTGCTTCTCTGCATCCAAGTATCCTTCCAGGGACTGGATTTCCTATGCAATATCTGAATATTCCCACTGAGAGCAGAGGAAAAGCAAGGCCTAGAACGACCTATCCTTTCTAGACAGGAAATGACTCAGATTTGAGCAAACCACTTTCTCTGGTATTGTTCAAAGCTGCCTGATTTCTTCGAAAACTTGGTGTGGTGGTGAGGCTGTGGCCAATTTCAGATTTCTTTGGAAACTTTAATCTGAAAAGCAGTTTCTGCTTTGTAAACTCACACAATGTTGCTATGAGAAGACAACAACTTGGGTATCTTTACAGTGTGGTGGAAACCTAAGGCCCAGAGTGGAGTGGTGTGTGTGTATATAGCGTGAGAGGTAGGAGTGGGGGTGGAGGGGGCCATCCCCGAAAACAAACTAGCCCGAGGCTGTGGTAGATCTAGAGATTATTCTGGAATGCCCTTTCCTTTCTTTCTCCTTGACCAGCCCCTATTCATGCTCCTAAGACCAATTTGAGTCCCATCTCCTCCTGGAAAGCCTTTTCCAGCTAATCTCCCTTTTTCTCACCTCTCATGCTATTTGCAGTTTGGACCTCACAGACTGGCTCTTTGATGATGGACTGGCTCGAGGCGCTTCACAACCCGAAGCATTTCCCTTGCACTGCTAGTAAGCTCTGTGGTAAGTTAGAGACGGAGAGTTGTGGTCAATGTTTCCTCCCCTGGACTGTGGGTGGGCTGTGGGGCTCATGACCAGTGTCTGAGCCCTCACCCTAGGGGAAGTCAGCTGCTGGGTAAGAAGTCTGACTCTCCTGAGACCACCTTACATGAAAATAGAACATTGCTTTCCACATCCCAGTTTCCACCCATTTCAGCCCAAATTCCAGTCATGTGAATGAAGGCACCATATTGAACATTCCGGCCCCAGAATATGCCATATAAAGGAGATGCGAGGCCGCAGGTCTGGTTGTGCTGATCACCATGGAAGAGAACAAATTGTCCAGGTGAGTCCTAACCCATAAAATCATGAGAGAAAATAGTATTGTTGTGTTTGTATACTACAAGGTTTTGTGGTAATGTATTATGCAGCGATAGATAACCAGAGCAGGCTCCTGGACCTTGCATCAGTGCTTCTCAAACTTTGCTGTGCATTCAAAATCACCGAAGGATTTGGTTAACATGAAGATTTGACTTATTCAGTCTATGTGGTCTGTGTTAGTGTCTGAGGTTCTGCAGTTCTACCCAGCACCCTGGTAAGGATGCTGCTCCCGGGTCCTCCTGTGAGTAGAAATGTGTACTGAGGACCAATGTTTACCAGCCTGGGAATATTGCAGGTGCATTTGTGCAACTTTTCAAAGGGCTTTCACTTCTGGATTGATTAGCTGAATAGCTTCATAAATTGAAAAGCATCTGCCATAAGACACTTGATCTAGAGCAGAATTTCTCAAAATGTGGTCTCTGGACCCACTTGCATTCATATCGCCTGAATTTGTTAAAGATGCAATTGCACCTCAGTCCTGCAGAGTCAAAATGAGAGGGGCAGGAATCGCCATACCGAGAAGATCTCTAGATAATTTCTAAGCACGTTCGAATTTGAGAGCTGGTGAATTAAGAGGAAGGACTGGTTTTAGTTCTGACTTTGGGCCTTAACTGATGGCTAGCAAATCACCTCACCTTTCTGTGTCTCCGTTTCTGCATCTGTAACATGAGGACATATTGTTGAACTAGAACAAACCCTATTTCTGATGGCGTGTGTATTCTGCAGTCCCTACTCCCGGTTAACTCAACCTCTTCTTCTCTTGCCCTCTCTCTACCCTGAAGGTTAGGGAGCACACAGCCTGTCCCCAAAAAGGACAGCCGCTTTCACTGTTGTCTTCTGTGGCTCACAGAGAAGTAGGTCTGATCAGAAAGCACACAATGCAATATTTCAAAAAATATTTTGAAAGCAAATATTAGTGTCAAGGCCAATGTCTCCTCAAAATAGCATATATCTGCATTCGATATTGTAATTAAACTTAAATCATTCCTTAAATTATATGTCTTAAATGGCAATTGCACAGCATTTAAGATTTCCTCTTGCCTTGAGCACCATTGGGCAAATGTGTTCATGATTGAATTAGCAGACCTTTGATTTTAAAAGGACTTTTCAGTGATCTTTTATGGTAGATTAAAAAGCAATTTACTAATTTACAGTTCATAGGAATTCCGTGCCCTCCTTGAGTTTTGTAAATCAATTCTGTGCTAATAAATGTGACTATAGCTCTAAATGTTTCATTTGGGGACAGCTGGTCTCATACGTAAACTCACAATAACATAATCGGTAAACCTGTATTTTGTGAGCTTCTTTGGACCAGCAGAAGCCCCTCTTAGGAATCCCTTCATCTGTAGCTATCGGGGAGGTTTAACCAGCAGGGCTGGGAAGTAATACCTTAATTTTTTGTTCATCTTTTCTCTTTATTACAGTGAGTAATCATAGTTGAAAGACAATTGGATGATGGGGTCGCTTAACTCAGGGCTCCTCCTCCTGGGTATGGCTCTCTCAGCCACTGAGACCCCCATATGTTTCCCAAAGGATATATAATCATGATAACAACCATCTACACATATAAAACCCTAATATGCAAATAGACAGAACAGTAGAACAGCTGAACAACTGAACAACCGGTCGCTATGATGTGCACTGACCACCAAGGGGCACGTGGAGCATGGCAGGCATCGGCTGCAGCAGGATGGTGGAGCAGGTGAGCAGGGGCACCAGACCATGGTGGGGCGCTGGTCACTGTCATTGGGGCGAGCCTCTGGTGGTTACTGAAAATTCTTTGCGCTGTGGTCCTGCTGGGCGCTCCCACCTCCTGCCAGTGCCAGCCCCACTCGCACCCACTGCCAGTGCTGGAGCCACTGCTTACACCCGCTGATGGTGCGGATTAGGGCTGGTGCCAGCAGTGGGTGCAAGCGGGGCTGGCGCCATCAGTTGTGGTGGTGGGAATGGGGCTGCTGGCAGACAGGGGACTGGGGGCCAGGGTGGGAGGGGCCAAGCAGGGGCACAGAGGATAGGCTGAGACCGGCCCCTGTGCCCACCACAGCCTTGTGGCCCACAGTTCATTTCAAGGTGCACAAACGTGTGCATGGGCCCCTAGTAATAATAATAGTTAATACAAGTAGAGTGTTTGCTATGTGCCAGATAACTGTGAGCTTATTTAATCCTCACAACTCTACAAAATTCATGCTATTATTAATCTCGTGTTCTATAGTTGAAGAAGCTGAGGTATAGATTAAATAACTTTCCTAGGATCCCAGAAGTAGTAAATGGTGGAGTTGAGATTTGAATTCAAGTAATCTGGCTGGTTGATTCCAAAATACTATGCTGCCTTCATCTCTAGTGACAAATGGGTTCTTTCTCTATAAAACCATTCACTACTAGCTGATGACTGGTTTTCCAAAAGATTTCTATTATTTATATTGGGAACAGGTATGAGAAATCAGCAAACAACACTTAAAACTCAACACCATACCATAGAGGAAGTAGTCAACAACTTGGCATGGTTTTTTTTTCCTTTTAAATTCAAGGGAAAACTATATGTCAGTCTTTGACAAGTCAACTCAAATCTGTCTCAAATGGAAGTGAAAGGTTCAAGCCACTGGTGGGGAGTCGAGCAATTTCCTTGGCAGGTTCTTGGGGACGAGTCTGGCGTGATTGGAGCTGGTGAAAGCACTTTGGCCTCTGATAGTCCTTCTGCTGGAGGGAGACGGCTGATGAAAGGTGGTCTGGATTCGCCTTTCCGTGGTGTCAGAGCTGAGGCTCCAGCTGCACACCAGGCATTTTCCTGGCTTTCTTCGGGTTTTGCCAATGCAAAGGGAAATGAATCATGAGAGGGAGGTAAAAGAAGGGGCTGGCCTGTTCAAAGGTAAGGCACTGGAAGGGTGGAGGAATGAAGTCACCCAGCCCCAGTGTGGGTACCAGCGCTCCACGTGACAAGCCAACCCAGACACTAACCAAAGTTGTTCATCAGAAGCTTTTGTAAATACCGTTCTTTTAAACCGGGAAAGAAGATAGAGCCATATGTGCCTACTTAAACAGTAATGCTCCCCTGTTCTAGGTCTTCTTGAACCTGGAATAGTTGTTGAAAGATACATTGTTTGTTCCAAAGGCAATCGCTTCATAATTGCCGAGCCAGAATTAGTAAGAGAAATGACTAGAAATTGGGGTTCAGATTTTACAGTCTATTGTCATCCTTGAGTTTTCAAGTCCCTTTTTTCTCTCAAGTTTTGCATTTTTATTTTACTTTTTTCCTACCATGGAATGACAGGGAGGCAAGTTAACCCTGCCTTTTCTGTAGCAACT